GAGTTCCCAATGGCCAAGAATGGAATAAATAATTTGGGCAAAAAAAAGATAGTGTTAAGATTATAATCCAAAATATTTCAGAATCTAGTTGTGTCAATAAATAAATGGGGAAGGGGGAACTCTTCTTTGTAAAATCATGTGAAATATTAAAAATACAAGGAATGGCCCCCCCTGGTGGCACAGTGGGTTAAAGCACTGCACTAAGAAGCTTAAGCCGCTTCCGCATGAGTTCGATCCTGCCTGCCCCAGAGGAGCTCCACATGGCGTGGCAGACCTCTCCTGACCCGCCCGCTGCTCCCCTCAGCAGTGTACTTCGTCCATCTGCCTGTTCTGCTCCCCGCTCTGTCTCTGGTGAATCCTCTCACCCTCCGCATCTCTGGCCTGTACCCCAGTTCCGTATGAATAAATAAATAAATCTTTAAAAAAAATACAAGGAATGAGGAATACCAAAAATGTCACAACCCCATGGTAATAACTGCTGCAAGTAAAATCCACAGAATATCGGAATAGCATCAAAATGATCACATATTTATTAATTACTATGGCTGTTTTCAAACATAGATTCAAAAATTCTTCAAACTCCAGGAGGTAGAGTTTAATTCTCCACCTCTTAGGTATGGTCTACCCTGGTAACTTGCTTCAATCAAGTAATGCCAGTCTTATCTCCAGCCAGTTTTCAACTAAAAATGATGAGGCTACATGAGTCAACTTGTTAGTTATATTCTTATATACTAGAAATGAATTGGACTTTGAAAGTTAAACAATCTCATTTATAATAGTACCAAAAAGTCAACCATGTAGGTGTGAATCTGACAACATCTGCACAGGACTTGTTTGCTGGAAACAATAAAACACCAATAAAATCTGTCAAATGCTCCTTTTCTCTTCGAACAATGCATTACTTTTATCTTACCTGACCTGGACCTTTTGACATTGGAGTGGTTACAAAGTTGGACCAGGTAAGTTTTTGCCCTTATAGCACCTTCAGTTAAGTGAGGGACAGAGTGAAAGTGGTCTAAAGGATCATGTAGCACAGACAACAAAGGTAGACTCAAAAGGTCAGGAAAGACTTTTTTCCTGAAGTACCCAGCTTGCAGCAAGAGCACTCTTCCTAAGAACAATCAAGACAGGAGCAAGTTGCCTAGCCATGCTCACATGGTCCCTTTAAGCCCTGCAAAATGCTCTATAGAGATGTGGACCTGGAGGCTTATGCAAAGCGACCTTGAGACTCTAGAAGTTTAAGCAGACCAACCAGGGATTCCTATTACTATGGCCGTGGGCATGTGAAATGGCAGTGGTGTGACAGGTCACTTCAGGTTCACAGCAATTCCTAAGAATCAGGCCACTCTGAACAGCCATGCAGAACTTTGTGGAACTTTTGAAACTTATCAATGTCAAATTTCCAAATCTCAGGAAACGTGGAGGCAGGAGGGATGGTAGAAGTTTACTTCTGGAGCAGATCTGATCTAAGTGGATATCGATCCAGGCTGTGTGTGTACCCCTCACATCAAAACATGAGTGGGCTACTTCCAGTTGACTAAAGTGATGGAATGTGTTGGATCAGCTCATACTCTGAAATAGCAAATCATCTCAGATCGTAGCCTCTGAGGTATACTCTACAGGCAAACCTTTGCATCTGAAGCAGATTTTGCCATACTGGAAGGGAAGTTTTCAAGACATACACATCATGATAGAGAAGTGATGGAGAAGAACAGACATCTCAAACTCTTTATGGGATAAGCTTTGACGCAGCAATGAAGGAAGATGCAGGAGGAGTTGTCGAATATAGTTCCTAAGACCGCAAAGCCATGGAAGACACATGTAAGGGAAGCTTAGATATCATAGTCTCATGTGAGAGCTTCTGTTTTTTTTTTTTAGATTTCTTTATTTATGCATAGAAGAACTGTGTTATAGACCAGAAGTTGTGGTGGTGGTAGAGAGAGGATTCATCAGGGACAGAGTAGGGAGCAGAACAGAAGGATCTACTGAGATACACTGCTGAGGGTGGCAGCAATCAAGACAGGAGAGGTCTGCTATGCCATGTAAGTCAGCTTCTTGGCCAGGATCAATCTCAGGCCAGAGCTGAGATAGCATGATAGTGCTGAGACTTAACCCCTATGTCACAAGGGAGTCCCCTCATACAAGAGCTTCTGAGTGGTAAAATAAAATATTACCTCGTTTTCCTCCTCCCCATGCCTGTCGCCCTGATCCCACATACAAACATGCACGAAAGGGAAAAGTGTAAGTCAACGTTTGCTAAGGGAGTTAGGATGGTGTGAGGACACCTTGTGCATCATGGACAGGGGAGGGGAAAGCCTTCCAGCTGGAATGACTTCAGAGACTGGGTGATGGAGGCTAGACCTCTAAGAATAAGCAGGACAGGGATCTAGGAGAAAGAGGAGGGAAATCAGGAGAAAGAACAGGGCATGCAAAGACAAAGAGAGAGAAGGAGGCATACTGGGGGCCAGTATGGGAGAATTCCTTTTGGATGGGGTAGAGATGCTGATGACAAGGCTGGAGAAGTTATCCTGAGACTCAAGTTTGATGCTGAATGTCAGGGCTAGAAAAGTAGGATTTATCTTGGGAATGGTGAGGTTGCCGCTTAGGGCTTCTATCAGGAAAGTGATGTGTGGAAAATAAGGATGAGTGGTACTTAATTTGATAGCAATGTGAGAGGGAGATTGGAGAAGAGAGCGATTTGCTGAAGGCAGGTAGGACGGTAGGGCAGAGGTTACCTCACTCGTCATGCCTCAACCTGCACCAAACCTCTTCTGAGAATTACTCCAAGCTGTGAACCCAAATGTCCTTCAAAGGGCAAATGGATAAATCAACTGTGGCACATCCATGTAACAGAATACTACTCAGCAAAAAGAAAGGAATGAACTATAGATACATGAAACAACTTAAATGAATTTCCTGGGCATTAGGGTAAGTGAAAGAAGCCTGTCTATATATGACATGCTGTAAAAGGCAAAACTAGAGGAACTGAGTATAGATCAGTGGTTATCAGAGTTAGGGGGTAAGTTATGACTACAAAAGGGTAGTGCGAGGGATTCTGGGGGGAATGGAGGGTGGATACACAAATCTAAACATTTCTTAGACCTCATAGACCCCAAAGGGTCAGTTTTGCTGTATCATAATAAGTTTTAAAACATTATCAGTGTTGCTCCCCATTACACAGTACCATCTGAAAGAATGGAAACATTTTGTGATAGTTAATCATTATATCCTTAGAATTTGCTAGCTATCTCTACATTTAAAACTCGCCCTCAAATACCAGAAAATATAACCCTCAACTGTGAAATAAATCATTCTCATTTAAATATAAATTTAAAACAGTAAGTCAGCGAATAGATTTTTTCCACCCCTTCTTTCTCCGTGGTGGGCTCCATTGCTGACCTAAGCTTTCCACAGTGACCATCACAGACAAAAGGCCCCTCCCTGCCCCCTTCCCCTGACTCTCCAGCTGGTTTCGGAGGACAGATTGTCATTCTGGCACTAACACACCTCAGCGTACTGTTGGATTCTAAGCTGCAGGGCTTTCCCCATATACATATATATGTATATATGCCCATATGTGTGTATATACATATATATATATGTATTATATATTTTTACAGCAGTGATATTCTGCCTTCTGATTATAGCAATTATGCCTATTGATAGTTCACTTTTTTCCCTCAAATTTTATTGCCAGCCATTTGCATAGCATATAACTTTGGGGGGATACTTCACCCCTCCGTAGTTGTACATGCTTCACTCATCCTCCACCAAAACTCCCTTCTTTCTTCTTCCTTCCTCTATCCCCTCTTCCCGATCCCCTATGGTAACCAGTACAGTTTAAAGAGTCCAAAAATTATTTTGTTGTGCTTTTGCCAGTAGCTCATTGTTTAAAGGAACAAAATGAATAACACCAGTATATCTCCAGAATACCACAAATGAATGAAAATCCCACCTGCTGATAAGCCTCACATTCAATGGTTAGACAAAGGGAACTTCTTCCCTCTGAGTGTTTCATGATTGTCCAAGAGCTATTTTCAAGCATATTTCTTTGAATTCCAAAACAAAGTTCACTCAGCAGAGAGCAGACTTTAATATACACTTATCTGATCAACCCAACAAGGCATAGGGGACAGGAGGTCAGGAGGTGGGTCTGAAGCCTCTCTTTGAAACCCAAGGGGAAGCCATTCAGCAATCATCAATGAAAAAGCCAGACATTTAACACTTGATAATTTGAGCTCAGTCAGAAAGAGGGAAAATAGTGGATTATTTATATAAAATTGCCAACAAGAGAAAACTGGGTCTCTTTCTATAAATTTGGGATCAATTTTTAAAGGTGTGGTTTTAGTAGGATTTAAAGAAATCTTAACACATCAATGCATTGTGGAAACTGTCACTTCATTTTGTAGCCGTTAGAAAACTTTTCCAAAGTCGTAAAAATGGATAGCTAATTTGTCCTCCATTTATATAAAATATTTCTTATGTGGCATCTCTTTATTAATATCATGTTTTATGCCTGCTGATTAAGACATCGGACATGACAGAAAACTGTTCAAGAGAACCTGAAAAAAATAAAACAAAACCTCACACCCTGGCTCCACACCCTGGCTCCTAGATTCTTTCTTAGCCTTTGCCCCCACCCCCACTCCACCTACCACATTCCCCCATTTGAATACTAGAGAGCACTCCGGGGAAATGGTGGACTGAAGGGTCTTGGGGGAAGAAAGGGAGGAGAAAAACGGGGAGCAGAGAGAAGATGATTGCGCAAAGGAGAGGTGGTCGATTAGCCCCAAGAGGCTGATCCTCTCCCTGGGTTTCTGAGAAAGGCTACTGGAAACTTCAGGGCGAAGATACCAGTTTTATTGTCTCCGATTGGCAAAAGCGAAGAAAGATTGACAGTATCAAGTGGAGGGAAGGTAGGGGGCGGGCTGCTGCGAGAGCCGGGAGGAGTAACTGAGGACTCCAGCTCATTGATGACGCGTCCCTCACGTGACCAGGAGTCGACGTGTGCAGAAGTCCTCACAGTCCGGGGCCTGTGTCCCTGTAGCAGCTCCCTATAGCTGGAGAAGGAGAAAAGTGCCTGGATCCTTTCAGGTCAGTATAGATATGGGCGCTGCCTTGGGGGCCCCGGGCTTGAGCGGCCAGAGCGCACAAACCAAGCAGTGCCGCCACCGCGTTCCCCACACAACTCTTCTGCAAACTCCCATTTTTTTTTTTGTGCAGGAAAATGTGGGCTGTTTGCATGGGGCGGGCGGAGGGAGAAGGAGTCAATGGAGGGTCCCGGGAGCGGACAGAACAATTTGGGAAGAACTTGCAGTCTCCCACTCCTTGGTTGCAGGGGGCCGCTGGGCACCGGGGAGGGAGGGCGGGGTTCCCTTAGGAGGGAGAGGATGAGGATGTGGGGAAACTTTAGACGAACAAGGCCTAGAATGGCGAAGGGGCGTCGGGATTCAGGTACTAGCCCTCTCACCAAGCACTCCTGCCGGTCTGCAGAACTCTTGATCTTTGGGGAGCAACACAAATCGAGTGAGGAAACAGGGAGGAAAGTACCCCCCGGATCCGTTCAGGTCAGTGTAAGGGTGTAACTGCCTCGGGTCCCTTTGGGTGGGGGTGGGACTGTGGGTGACACCAAAGCGCACCCCGGGGTCGTCGCAGCCTCTCCCCCCGCCCCCCGTCCGGACTGAGCGCTGGAGGCCTGTGCGGAGCCTGCAGCGGAAATGGGGTGGGGGCGGGGGGCCTGGGTCCCGGAGCTTGGAGAGATGCCGAGGGGGGAGGGGAGGCCGGAGACTGGACCCGCGGGGCTCAGGTGAGTGGCCGGAGGTTGGGACGGCGTGGGGAAGCCCGAAAGGGCGGGAGCGGTGGAGCGCACAGGCGAGGGAGGGGTTAATTGCTTCCGCGCTGCTCCCTTTCTGGGCTAGGAGAGGCCTGTAGCAGGGCCTGCTGGGAAATGGTGGGCTGGAGCGGGAGGAGAAGAGCAGGAGCGAGAGGGGGAAGGGGGGGCGAAGGGGTGGAGCCTGGGGCGTTGGGAGCTTGAGGATCTGGCATTCTCTAGTTGGATAACTTGGACAGTTAGGGGCCTGGTGCAGAAAAGGCCAGTATCAGTGGGAACCCCATACTCTGCTTGATGGTCTCTGCTTGACATCTGGGCGTTTTGTTACCGTGTTTTTAGGATTTATTCAAAAAGGCAATAAAGAACAATACTCAACATGCAAAAGTCTTGTGAAGAAAGTGAAGGAAAACCACAGACCATGCCAAAGACGGAGGAGGAAGACCACCCTTCGGAAGATGTACCCCAGGATGCAGATGGACATCCTCAACCTTCTGAAGACGGTGCAAACCAGGAAGCAGAAAGAAGCCCTGGAGGAGGGCTGACTCCACCTGGCCAGGGATTTAAAGAGGACACCCCTGTTAGGCATTTGGACCCTGAAGAAATGATTAGAGGAGTAGATGAGTTGGAAAGGCTTAGGGAAGAGATAAGAAGAGTAAGAAACAAGTTTGTGATGATGCATTGGAAGCAAAGACATTCACGCAGTCGTCCTTATCCTGTGTGCTTTAGGCCTTGAATTTTTATTTTTGTCTGATATTAAAATCTAGCCCCTGCTTTCTTTCTCTTAGCATTTTCTGATGTATCTTTGACCTTCGTTTTACTTTTAATCATCTGGTGGAATTTGGCTTTAGGCAGTGTCCTTGTTACCAGCATCTCATAGGATTTTGGATTTTGACCAAATCCAGGTCTATTTTTCAGTTGGGAAGTTTGACGCATATGCATGAAAATATGTTCATTCCATTTTGTGAAGTCAAACAGAACAGGTTACAGAGTAACAGATTTAGCATCAGTTCACGTATGTAGGATAAAACCCCAAATACTGTGTATGTGTGCGTAGGTGTGTACGCATACATACATACATCAAACATTTAACTGTTTATTTCTGTGTGGTATGAGTTGTTTGTTTTTATTTTTGGTTTTTTTTTTTGGTTATATGTCTTTTTTTTTAATGAGCACATGTCACACACAAAAGGAATTAAAGACTTTTTATAAGAATCAAATTGCAACCAGCTTGTAAGGGCAGTGGGGCACCTAAACTCAAGCTATTAAGAAATGTAAACCTCAAGTTACCTCTGCACTTCTAGCTGGAGGAATAAAACTGGCAATTATTACAGATGCACTTGCTTAAGACTCCATCTTTTCAAGGTGATAGCAGTTGCCTCACCGGGCTGGGGGGTTGGGGGGTGGGGAGGCGGGGGGAGGGGAAGAAGTGCAGTGACTGAGCTGCACTCCTGGGCTCTGCCTCCCCCTGTGCCCACAACCCCAGCCATGCAGGGCAGCAGTGATCTGAGGCAGGACCCTGGCACCACTCGGCCAGCGCTCAGGAAGAAGCCCACTAGCAGGGAGGGGGGCTCCACGCCAGGGCCCTGGTGTTGCGCCCCACCCCAAGCTCTTCCCCAGCCCTGCCTACTGGGTGCTGCCGTCCTTCTGCGGGGTCCTTTGCTCTGCCGGCCCCCACTGTTGCTGGAGCCCTGGAGTGTCCAGGCCCAAAGCCTCACAGTTTCCTGGAGCCCCCAGCCCCCCTCAGTCTTCCAAAGCCTCTGCATTATTGTGACACTTGCTGCTGTGGGGTTGCCGGGGCAACCAGGCCTTGCAGAGCTCTTAGCAAGACAGCCCTTCCTGCTCTCCATCACTGGGCCCCTGGTCGCCATAGGAGTCGGACTTGATGAGTCCCTTCTGGGGACTGGATCCAGGTACCAGTTTGAAAGCAAAACCTGCTGTTGGCAGACTTGCTGCTTTAGCTGTAAGGACTAAGTCTCTGTTCTGAAGGCCCCTAGCAGTCCCAACCTCCTGGTTCAGAAGACTCTTGGAATGTATGCAAATTACACAAAAGGATGAAAGAAACAGGAATAAGGAAATTGCCTCCTTTACCTCACCCCACCCCCACAGTTGTAATGTGAAAAAACAAAAAAACTCAGAAAGGCATTAAGAACTTTATGAGTGACAATGGCTGCTATGTAATTGCTGCAAATTATATTTCCCCTATAGAACAAAGACTATTATTTTCTCCGTGATCTTCCCACATGCTTGTGTTTCACTGACACTCAGGTTTAATATTTTATTGATTTCTTGATTGATTATTACTAAAGAGCCAATAGATTTCTCCAGATTATGCTACTGAATGAAAAATCTTCATCTTTTTATTTCTCTGGCATGACAAGCAATTCCAAAAAGAAACTGCATGGGATGGATTGCACACCTAATATTTCAAACATCAAAGTCTTGCATATTCATCTACATCAGAATCACTTGGGGGGCATCTTTAAAATGCTGATCTGGGTCCCATGTAAGCAGCACTGACTGGAGGTGGGCTGTAGAAGTTACATAGTTAAACAAGCTCCTGCAGGTGATTATGTCACATAATGAAGCACGAAGACAACAAATGTATATAGTATGCTTTCCATTATTACAAACAGGAACGAGATAATCAGAAGAAAATATTGATGAATGTTTACTGAAATTCAGGAAGTTGAGAGGCCTATGTAGCATTTATGTAAATGTGAGCTTTTACTTTTTTAAAGATTTACTTATGCATGCAGAACTGGGGTACAGGCCAGAGATGAGGAGGGTGAGAGGATTCACCAGAGACAGAGTGGGGAGCAGAACAGGCAGTACTGCTGAGGGGAGCAGAGGCTGGACAAGAGAGGTCTGCTGCTCCATGTGGGTCAACTCCCTGACTAGGGATAGTGCTCATGCTGCAAATTGCTTCATAGTGCTGTGCTTTAACCCCTTGTTCTACCAGGGAGGCCCCAGAATTATGTACTATTGGAAACTGATCTTAATGTAAACACAATATCAAGCTGTTATTTTTGTTCTTTCATCTTAGAGAATAAAACAGTTTACTCTGTGATATGGGTGCTTCACTTTCATATCTAAGATTCACATTTCTCCCCAGCCTCATTGTTTCTAAAACAAGTTAAATAAGAATATAATTCTTATTTTAGATTCAAATTAAATCCAGTTTTAAAATTCAATTAATAATGCTTAAGTTAGGCAAATTTTAGAACATTGATATTTGATGAGTTTCATAGTTCACAAATGCAAAGGATTAGTGCTTTCCAAAATGATTTTTCTTAACACCATGTTCAGCCATGGAGTCACATTATCAATATGAATAAAATATATCAAGTTGTCTTTTTTTTGATCAGCTGATAAAACAGTGAGCCAGTCTGTGCCCTTCAACTTTGTTTTTATTTTTCATTGTATGATGCCATCTTAGGGCAGCTTCATGTCTTCATCTCATTCTACTAGGTTATGGTAGCTGGATGGATGCAGTTCAGGCTAGAGTGAGATGTGGGTCCAGGGGCCACCCTAAGCCAGTTTGACAAGACATGATGGACCCATCCCCCTGGCGTCCAGAGGGATGCCACCCAGTCAGGATGTGGAGGGGCTCCCCCAAGCCCCACTCCTCTCCAGGGGGCTCTGGCTTTGGCTTCTGCCCGCCAGCCTGCAGGGGGCACCAGACCTCCAAGCGATGGCCAGACTTGTTCTGTCAGATCTGGAGGTGGATGGC